TATTATCTCGGAAGAGGAATCCAATGACAAAGGATGAAGCTAGTGCAGTGAATCCATTAGTCGAATCATTTTTAAGAAAAAATTAAAGTGTCAGATCGCAAAGAATATTTTTAGAACAGGTGACGAATTTAATTAATTGATCGTACGATCACGGAATAATTATCTGTATTTTACTAAGTATTGCTATGTAAGTTTCGCGATTTGCATCTGTGTAATTCTGATAATTTTTTTCATTTTTTGGTATTGATCATAAAATGACTTCTTTGCTCGGTCTCGTTGCGAGATTTTCTCGCCCTACTTTACGTACTCTCCGGCCAATAGTCTTTTCTCTAACCTCGCAAAAAAGAAACAAAGAAGCTGAGCTCTTTTCTACTCCTCGGGCATCCAAGTTCCTGAAAAAAGATATGGAAGCACTGAGGGTGAGTTACATGCCTGCCTCAGATGAGAACGATGTAATACCTAATTTATCAGGTATGAACTACATTGTACAATCCTCTTAACGAATAATACTTATAATTTAAATATCGCCCCAGTCACCAACTCTACGGATCAGTATGCTGTTCCTCATATTAGTCGTAAAACGCTTAAAGATCCAGATTTTAAAGTCGACGGATTTATATGCATTACGGATCCTACAGTTCGAACGTTTTTTGACAAATTGCATGACGCCGTATTCAATGGTCTCCAGGTGGTAGGCACAGACGAAACTTTTACTGATACCCTTGTTGACGATCTGCTTCGTATTGCTGAGCTGAATGAGTGGCCTTTAAAGATCAGGCGTGTAATTATCGGAAGTTTTTTATTATGGTGCACTCAATCATTCTAAAGTTTGTATTCTCAAAATCCAGAAATCATCCACCATGCAAACTATACATAAATAATGAACCTGTCGTGTCAGCCGTCCCCGAATTCGTAGTTAGGAAGCAAAACTATGCTATTATTGGAGTAGAAGTCAGTATGTTGTTATTTTTAACAAACTCTTTTTGTTTATTTACTCAATAACTTTTTCTAAGCAGGATAAACATCTGAAAAATGTCGGACCAAACACAGGGTTTGGGGAAACACAGATCGCTGCAGATATTATCGCCTGTGGGTATGAAAATATGCGTTTAATTGATTATGAATATAAAGAACAGACTATATTCGCCATTCGTGTCATTTCTACGTATGTCACATTTTATAAAACTGAGATTCCTGCGATATATTGGAAGGAGCTTGAAGAAGGTCTACCGAAAGTACAGTCAATTGAAATTCGAAGATGGCCAGCTAAGAATAGTTTGAGGAGTGGTTTCGATTTAGCCGAACCTAGTGGAAGAGAAACTGTGCTGAAATCATTATTAAAAATCCGTCAATTTCTTGTGCCGAAGTAATAGAGTGAAGTTATTAAAAAAAGTGAAAATTTGACTAGCGATAAATTTGGAAGAGACAGATAATAATCTACATCAATACAAAATGTGATGACGAATGATAATACTGACTGTAGTAAAGAAAAATCATCAAGTTAGTGCGATCAATTGTTGTAAAAACCTATTACGCGACTGTGATATATGGCATCAAAGTGGGTTGTATTCGCATCTTTAGAAAATAAACATGTATACATATCAATGAAAAATTAATAAAACATGACGTGTGCGTGTATTGTCTGAATAAGATGATATTTAACAACATAGCCTTATAAAAAACAATTCATTCAATATCTTTTATTGCTTGAATTTTTGCGCATGTGTAATGATAATAAAGTATTTAAAGTTATAATCTATCCGATGAGACCCAATTCTCGAAGATGTTCAGGAATAACTATATTTGGGTCTTCATAGTACCAAACATACCTTAAAACGATCCAGTTTTCTTCGCACAATTCTTTCTTGAGTTGATCCCGCTCTTGCTGTTTGATAAAATTATTGGGATCTTCTCTATGAAAGAATTCAATATATTTTTCATGTTGTTGCCCTTGTACTTCGATTGCAAAACCATACTGTGGATAATAAATATCAAGATGTAATCCAGTTGGATACTTGAGAGTTTTAAGAAAGTCTGGTTGGCGTATTTTAGATGGTAGCCCAAGATATTTTGTTACAATTTCACGGCATAATTGTTCTCGTTTATTTTTGCAGTAGGGGCACCAAGTTCCTCTTTGAATTTGATCAATTCGAGCAAGCCATGAATGGCCTTTAGAACAACTCCAAGAAAGTGGAGAACGTCTATTACAATAAGAACTAGAAATACATTTGCCACCTTTTTTATTTGCGAGATTCTGAGCAAATTCAAGACTAAGTTTTTTGCATTCACGACACCAACATTTACTATTTTTGACCTCTGCAAGAGATAGGCGAAATTGATGATTATTTTTGCATTCCCATGTAAGAGGTGATTTATTGTTAATATAATTTTCAGAAATACATCTTCCATTTTTAGCAAGTGCTAACTCCCGAGCTACTGAAATATTAAGTTTTTTACTTACACAATGAGGGCACCATGAATGTTTGTTTTTGATATTATAGAATCGAGTAGTCCATTGATGAAATTTATTGCATTCCCAAAGCATTGGAGTTATATTATTAATATACTCTATGGAAAGGCATTTTCCTCCACGAGATTCTGCTATCTTTATTGCATCATTCAAAGATAATTTTTTAGGCATTGTGATTATAATATATTCTTAATAATTATCTTACTTTTCAAAATATTGTGCTTTCACAATCTATATATATTAAATGAATCTATATCTAAAAATAAGCAAGAAACAATTTATACAAAAATTCTTTATATAATACAGATATGCCCGATCAAGAAACTCAAACCCGAGATACTGACCCAATTTGTGATCACGAGGAAGAGATTAATCGCCGGGTCAAGAAAGAGTTAGATAATTTATTTCGACAATTGCTTGAATACAATGAAAAAACTTTTGGCTCTTTTATGCAAGAAATCACTAAACAGCATGAGGAGCGGGTCGAAGCCAATAAGAAATTGCGATCTGAGGTTAAAGAAAAGAAGATAGAATTGCAACAGGCAGAAAAATACCTTGAATATCTGAAATCTCGCTCTACTCATTAGAAAGATCAAGTGCCTGGTCCCAACCTCTGTGAATATAAAAAGGGTCTTCCTTTGCCCTAGTCCGGTCAATCACAATAAATTCTCGACCCTGTAAATTTTTATCAAGTATATCAATAACATTACGCCAATTTTTTGTATATCGCCGGGCAATATTTACTAGCTCATCATAAGTCCCTGCTCCATTAAAAAGTACAATATAATCTGAATTTTTTCTTACTTTACCTGGACAATCGAAGAAGCTTTGTGTTATATATATTGAACTGATATTAGAGTGGCGTCCTTCAGTGAAGTAAGGGACAATTTTATCTTGTATTTTTTTAGGCTCATTGCATATATCTTCGAATATAGTAACTGTTCCTCTTTCAGGAGAGAAATCTTTTATTTTTGGTATTTTATCAGGTTTCATTGCTTGGAATGTAATATCTTCACGATATGGTTCTGGACTATTTGCAATTATTTGATAACAATCATGAAGATGTTTATATTTTGGCTCCTTGAGGTGATGTCCGATCAAAACCAAATCATCATTCTTAATATAACGTGTTCCACCTTTTTTTCCATTAAACATTCAATTTATCTTGTTTCCAAGTAAAAGATTAATAACTTCATTAGTTTTTCCTGATCTAGTTCGCCCTGAGATCACCATATTGAATGGCCATTGGAGTGTTAAATTAAGGCCATTAAATCTCTCTATATTTTTGTATTCATCGATATTTAAAACCATCTTCTCAACTGGATCAAGCTTTTCTATTTTCATCCTGATTAAGCTAAGTAATACTAAATTATTATATCAAAAAATAATAATCTATATTGCTATATACATATATTTACCAGATTTTTTATTCTGAAGAATCGCCAAAGGTAGTCACAGATTAGGTATCTGTATCTGACTCACTATTCGTATCTGAATATCAACCAATAATATCAAGAGTAGAATTTTTACTCTGTAAGATTGTAATTGCATTTGTACTAATTTTCTCGTAATCTTCAATGACAAACTTCTGGAGATTATATAAATTTGCTAATGCGGATATAGATACATCACTAATATTATAACATTCAAGTTGGAGGCCTTCAAGATTAGGGCAAAGCTGTACTATCTCACAAATAGACTTATCAGATACAAGTTCACACTCATTAAGATTAAGATATCTAAGGTTCAGGTTAGATTGTGCAATTTTTTTAATCAATATATCAGTAATCCCTTCATAACCCTCTAACACATAGCTTTGCATATTTGAACAAGCTGAAGAAATTGCATATATACCTTCATCTGTTATTTTTTGGCAATTAACTAAACTTAGAGTATGGAGTTTTGGGCATGATTTGACAATCTCGATTATAGATGCATCAGTAATATTCTTATTATAATCCAATTTCAGGTGACACAAATTAATACATGAGTGCGCAACTGCTCTCAATGATATATTAGTTATCTTAGAAGAGCTAAATTTTAGGTGTTGTAGATTTGGACATGAATTCGTGATTTTACATAAAGTTGTATCCTTTATATTAGTAATATTACTAGATTATTTTATAACTTTACTATTATATGAAATACTGAAAGATTCCAGAGGACAAATTTGTGTAATCTTACTAACGACTCTATCAGATAAACCATGACATTATTTGATCTTTAGATGGCATAAATTGGGACAGGATCTAGCAATTCTATATAGCTCATCATTAGAGACCTTGCAACTAGAGATATGAAGTTGAAATAAAAATGAAGCATGAGATTTTCAATTTCCACACATTATCTTTTTGAATTTGCCCCACCCCATACAAGATTTTTTTAGTTTACCAGAAAATTCAGCCTTTCTCCATATTAATGGGACAGAGCATAAATACCATAGCCTGTTAACGAATAAGGTCAGATATAATATTTTATCTTTGGCAAGATATGAGAAAATTTCGATTAAAAGTTCAGGCAAGACAAGTGGATAAAGTTTATTATATGTCATACTTATCATATGAGTTTATTGTTTATGCGATAAATAACCTTTCTCAATTAAAATATTTCAGATAAAATCATATAAATCCGCATCATATGGTATTAAAATAAGATCTATATCTTCTCGAGCACATACATCTCACTTTTTTTTGTCTCGTATCTGTTGCTCATCCAAGTTTATCTTGCCTTGCTTATGAAACATTGGATTTTCAGAAAAATATTGGACACCCTGGAATTCGAATGCCAATTTTAATTCTTCATTATACTCATCTAATTACATCCTATTCAAAAATGATGATTTACAAAATGGAAATTTCTTACCTAACAAATCCTTAAAAATATATCAATATCTGCGTTCATTAGTAGAAGAATGTGGACAAATTAGACACCACTCGAATTTACGCTTCTGGGTCTTATAAGATACTTCCCATTGATAGAGTCTGTTTTCACAGGACCAGAGATATACATTTAGGTTATTTATCCACCTAGTTTTCATAATATAATGTTCATCATACTTCGTGATATATTTCTCAGCCTGAGATGCTTCAGAATTTGATCAGTTATAGAATGTCATAGGAATAAGTATACTATATATAGCAAAAAAAATTTATTGATATGTAAAATCAGTGGATACTTTATTAGAATATCAATTCTACAAATTCAAAATGAAATCATTATTGAATATTTGATATATTAATATTAAGATTCAGAAAGATTAATCGATAAGTCCTAATGCCCATAGTTCATCTTGAATAGTCTTTTCTGGATCTTTATCATCATACCATACATAAAAGAGATATATATTATTTTCATCACATAAATCCTTTTTAAGCTGATCCTGTTCCTTTTATTTTTCGAATT